CTGCTGAGTATTTTCATATAGCCTCTCTGGATGTTAAATTATGTTTATATTGAAAATCTCTTAATCATCCTCTGTTTAAGCTGTAACTCATTTTCAATGCAAAGTCTTTCCTGCCTGGCTCTTTGCAAACTATTTATATACAGTATTAGATGTTGGCATCAAGGAAAACAGCTTCACTTTATTTTGCAGTAACTGTAATCAAATGTTAGCTTGTGATGAAGCATGAAGTAAATGCTTATTATACCTTCATTTTATTTAGCTGTGCTTTTTATTCTGCTTCGCTGAATAGGTAATTGCCTATTACTGCATGTAGTACATCTTCCTTTCTAGTAATAGTTTGTTTTTGTGCTACTCTGCTTTATTGTTATAAATACATAAAATTATTTCATATGCATTTTTTTAAAAACAGAATCAAGACTTGAAGGTTGGCTTTCAATACCGAACAAAGGAAATATAAAGCGGCATGGCTGGAAGAAACAGGTACAAATGGATGGGTTGTCTTCTTCCTCAACTCCCTTGGAAATTTTTCTAGGCATATGGTGAATTAGTTTTAAGCTTACATTTAAGAAACAAACAAAATAATTGGAGTAATTTAATGTATATACATTACTTTATTGAAGAAAAAAAAAGCCCAACAAGAAAATTCTAGTTCAGTATGAAATCTGTAGTAATAACATTGTGCAAATTTACGCCAGGTGGGTGATGAAATGCTTTACAATGGGCATCTTGGAATCTTTAAAAATCCCATTTCTCCTTAGAGTAAGCTTTTTTACAATCCTGTTACTGAAAAATAAGCTCTTTGTGCAACTTGACAGCAGAGAGTAGGGAACACAGCACCCAAATGTTTTGAAGGCCGTGGAAGAGTGCATCACACTTATATCTTGCCACACAGGATTTCCAAGGACATTTCCATCTCCCTTTTAACATGGTCAGCCTCTCTTGAAAAGACCTGGTTTGCTCTCAGAGACTGGACCTCTATGCTGGAATTCCCACTCTAAACAAAGCAGTATCGTTTTGCCTCTGCCAAGGTTATGATCTGGTTCTTTGAAACTTCAGATGCTCAAATTGACATGCCTAGAAGCTTAGAATCGGTTTCTGATTATGTTTTCTGGCTTTCCAGTTCCCCTCTTTGAACATCCTTTAGTATAACAAATGGCAAAAGTGAACATGGTGACTAGAAATTTGTAAACTTTGCGACCAATTTGTATGAAATAGTTCATTTCCCTGCATCTTCCTTACTTATATTCAAAGACCAGTATTGGAAATTACTCAGTTTATTCATGACACTTCCAACGTAACTTTCTGA